AGAGAGAGAAATCTGAGAGAAACCGGACTCCAATCCATGGAGTTTTAGAGAGAGAAAGAAAGAGAGAGAAAAGTGGGTTTCATAGCCACGACCAATCGAAACCCGAATTGATAGATCCGATCATCTCCTACAACTCCTAGCATCACCAAACAAGCCTCAATTCAATCCCAAGGTACCCACTAGTCAGAAACCGAAGTCATCTTCCCCAACGATCAAAGATTCGATTTTTGATCAATTCGATCAAACCAAGGTACTATAATCTATTCCGAATACTCCTCTAAGTATATTTAATGTTTTTAAGCATAACCCAATAGCCCCCGTAGCCCCATGCATCGAAAACCGTGAGAAAAACCAAAAAAATCGAACCTGGCCCGAACCTTGCGGCCGCAACCTGCGGACCGCAAGAACCAGCCGCGAGTTCGCGGCGAGGTGCTCCACCGCAAGGTCAACCCGGTCCAACCTTGCGGTTCGTCCAGTTTCGTTCCGAATTGATTTTTCGACATCCCGAACACCGTTTTCGACCCCGAACTATTTTTCCTAGCTTTCTCACACCTCAAAGATCATAACTTGTTAACGTCATATTTTTTTATTTTATTATCTATTTATTAATTATTTATTTAATTTCTTGCAAAAGTTTTCAAACGAAAAATCCTTGCGACCTTATAAACCATTTTATAAATTCCCAAAATATTTTTTTAGATTCTTTACATACTAAAGATGATATGTTGTTAATCTCGACATATTTTATTCATTAAATAATTTATTATATATTATTTATTCTACTTTTGACAACCTTAAAAATCATTTTTGTTTTAAAAATAATTCCGTAACCCTCCGGACCCACTTTTTGATACTCGAACATGTTACGTAGGACCCTAGGACTCCTTTTAGAGCCATGCTACCTATTTTAGTATTATTAATTACTTTTTGTATTTATTATGATCACTAATCAAATTATTTTCCTAAATAAAAATTTATACAAGCCTAGATTATATTCTTTTTATTAAAACTTTTATTTATTAAAAGTTCCTTACCTTATTAATGACTTGTTGATCATACAGAACTAAGGGCAATGGCCCATTCATAAAAGGTTATGTGATTCAATGCATATTGTTTATTTCAATTATTATTCTGTTTGCTTAATTATTATTTCCAATTTGAATGATATGTTAGATTGGATCCTAGAGACATGGGGTGGTATGCGAAATAGAAATCACCTAGACGATGATAAGTAATGGATGAATTGGAAAAGTTTTTGTTTTAGATTGCATGCAAGCGTGATTTTGAGTTGTGATGAGATTGTGATGAGATTGAAAACTGGCGGGTGTCAAGTGATGAATTGATAGACTGGCGGGTGTCCAGTGATGATTGTGGAATGGTTGTGATGTGGTTTATAAGATAGACGAACCCTAGTCGTGATTCAGGCATGGTAAGTTTTCTTTTGCTGTATTGAGAGGGATACACACTGAGTACATAACTTAGGTGCAATCCGCGACAGCAAAATAAATTGATCCCATGGGACCGAGCATGGCTAGTGGTTGAGGGAGGAAAGATCTCGCGGTGAGATCTTAGATCACACGTCAGGTTAATGAATAGTAATAAACTGATTGATATGAAATACCTCTGTTATATTTCTTCGTACCATGTTTATCCTGCTTGATTGCTAGCTGTAAAGTAAGAGGGGTGGTTGGGTTGGATTATTCTACTGGGTGATTTATCACTCACGGATACGTCTGTATCCTGGTAAATCGATTGCTTCGGCGATCAATTTGCCAGAAGGCGCAGGATTCAATGGAGAGGATTCAACGATGGTGCAGTTCGACACAAAAAGAATATCAGGAATAGAGATCGAGTATGCTTGGGATTCGTATCAAGTCTAGAGTCAGCTCTGAAGTTAATGTATTTTGAATCGGTAAATTTATTTTGAGATTGTAATAGACCTTTATTTTGGAAAATTATATTTATTTAGCAAAATTTTCTTAAGAAATTATTTTATTTTGCTTCCGAAAAGTCGGGGCGTTACAGTGAGTGTGAGGGTTGTTTTATTTTTATATAAACGGTCTTGCTATTGTTAGTCCACCGAGCTGACGATAAATACAAGTGAAAATAAGAAAAATACGTATTTCTATATACTTTATATACTATTTTATACACATTCATACACTTACTATTATCAACCCATTTGGTTGATTTTAGAATTTTTCATGCATAAAAAACAAAAGTTTGAGAGTATTCCTTGGCTTCTCAATGGTAGTGCTGATGTCAAAGTGGTGGTTTGGTGGAGGTGGTGATGTGGCGGGGGTGGTTAGGGTAGTGATGATGGTGATGCTGACAGTTGACAGGAAATAATTGGCGGTAATGGTTGAGTATATGGATATCCCCATTTTTCAGATAACTACAGAGAAATAATAGGCAAAGAAAAGACCTTTAAAGTGTATATGAACGGTTTTTAAAGGTTTTTTCTTTGCCTATTTGTTTTTTATGTCCCTAACACAGCCCATAACTATATTCCCAGGAACGACAACATGATGGACCCATTTTTCAACCAACTGCACAAATCACAAAGTGAAGATCCTCCTTTCTTTCTTTTTTTGGTAAGCGTGAAGATCCTTTGTCTTTTTGGTAAGTGTGAGGATGATCTGTTTAGCCATTAGTGGGTTTGCTTCCTATATAATTAATTAGAATTTAATTCTTAAGATCCGGGCTCAAAAAATATTTTTTTTGTAAAACCTCTGGTCCCAATACGGATCTTTGATAGGACTGAAGAGGGGATTAATCAAGGCATATGTAAGCTGATCGGAACACCCCTCAAAATAAAAAAGAAAAAAAAGATCATCATTTTGCATTACCGTCACAAATATCGAAAAGTTATTCAATACCCAGGGGTAAGAACGTGTGGCGCCCCAACTTCTCTTTCTACCACAAATTTGTGTGGACCCCTTCACTAAATGTGTGGTGGAAAGAGAGATTGGGCATCACATGTCCCGGCTCTTGTGACGTAACTGATATTTCAGTAAAATCAGAATAACATTGAGAAAAAACTGGGAAGCCTTCAACTGAAAATAAATTACTACTTGAAACAGTACAGAAGTAACAACTACTATTATAAGAATATGTAATTGCATTATCAAGATTCTGAACACCGTACTAATTAGGATACCATTTTTTCTATTGGTACGGTACCGATACCAATCAAATATTGGTACCGTTTCGAATTTGCTGCAACTAATAAGATAAAAGAGTGCTCTATGATCCACACCTTATCCCATTCCAATACAACTATTCCATTTATTCTCTACGTTTTTTTAATCAGAAAACTACTCCACTTCCAATGCTTTTTTAGGAGTATATTCCCAAACGGTGTGCTCTAACCACTGATTTTGTACCGATAAAAGAAAACCCACTGGTTTAATTTACTTTTCGTAATCCAACTTTAAATTTTCCCAAACGGTGTGCAGATGAACCCACATCTCAGTTGATGAGCAGAAAAACTTACAGCATAAGAAGGTCAGTTGTTGCATATACCGACCTTACCCCAGTTTGGCACCCCTTCAAATAATTAAAACCGAATGAAAATATTCGCATATCAGATGCCATAATATAGTACTTTGTTGCATAAATTTTAAAAATTTCTTGACACAAAATTAAAGATCTCAATTTCGTTATTTAATTTGGTGTTGATAAATTAAAAAAATTATTCACGGAAATACTTTATTTTTTTTATTGAAAAATAGCACATCTTTCCGTATTAGACTTTCATTTAGGAACGGACATAGATAACGTAACTCACGGAACCACAAAATGATTCCACTAGTATTTTTTTGTTACCACTACTAGATGATCTTCCTTGTTACAGACTGATAAAACTTGCTCCATAAATTTTGGATTCTTCACCCTTCCTGAAATGTTATATGAGAAAAATTGAAATCGTGTTTCAATTATTTGGAAGAAGTTATTATACATCACAATGTTTTACTGTTTTATTTCACAATGTCTTACCAAAAAATTTTTATTCGCCAAAAAACAAAAGATATAGACAAATTAAACACACAGAGTCTCTGATTTTATATAGTTCCTTCAATAAAAACTAATCGAACACGTGGAAATAGAGGGTGATAGAGAATATGCCGATATACTATTTTTGAATTATGAAATAAAATTGATTTCTGCACTTCCCATCTCCCATTTACTATATGAATTTTTTTCACTTTATTTATGTAAATCTACAATACAACTCTTTGATTGGCAGGGGCGACCGCAAAGTTACATCAATGGACAAAACCTTGGGGTCTGCTGGAAAAACCCTATTTTTCCATTCATAGCTTTATATGGCTAGACATGAATTAAAAATTGGGTTCTATTCACGCTATGTAGATGGCTAGATGCACAATTGCACGTTCTATTTGCAATCCCTCTCGCCCTTGCGTAAGAATGCTACCTTTCTTGGATCATAGTAGTCATTTTCGTCATCTTCGTGTTGTAAGTCATCTCTATGATGCCAAGAGGCCTTTGGCCCAACAGCATCAAGGATGAGAAAGAAGGTTAGAAGTTCAACTCATCTTTAAAGGTGTTAATCAAACTATTTTAACAGTACTGGCTTTAGTTGATGAAAAAAAGGTCGTCTCTATGATTTTCAATCATCTTGCCCTCAACAAGAGTCACCTCTGCTTCATCAAATAGGTAACTATCCATTATTCATTTTCTAAGCATATTCATAAGAACCAGATAATACATAAGAGAAGCCCTGCTGACAAAGAATAGGTCATGAGTTAAGAGATAAAGAACCAAGAATACCTCGTAACAACTTGGCCAACCAGACTCCGCATGGACAGTTCATGGAGGATGGCAATGGCCTCCTCACCATCTTCATCTAGGTTATACAGGCCCACCCACATGTCTATAAGTGCTGTGGCAGGGATCGTTCGATCTTTTAGGAAATGAAGCCAAGTCCAGGTAACACTCCTTGTACATTTTGTGAGGGATTGACTCACATTTGGGGTTAGGGATAATTAGGCTCGAACTGATGCCTTCTAGGCTGCCACCACGTCAAGGTGACACTCTACCGCTGAGTTATATCCCTATCCCTTCTTTGCCTCCATCAAGAAATAGAACTGACGAATTCTAAGGTCAAGAAAATAAATGCCACTATTCTTGAACAACTTTGAACCATGGTGGTGTTGATTTAGGGCCGGTCCACCCCCAAGGCCCAATAGGCCCGGGCCTTGGGCATCCCCAAAATCCCAAGTTTTAGGGGCACTCAAATATTTTTACTACTTGGGTTTGAGTATGACTCTTTTTAAGAAACCCAAATAAAAACATGTACGTTTCTGTTTTTTTAGCAAAACATGGGGTTAATTGTAGTATGTGCGTGAGGCTCAAATCCCAGATTTGCACCCCCTGAGCGCGAGTAACTCGTGACGAGAACTTGGTTAATTGGTTTCCGGGTCAGTTATTTCAAATTGCCTTCGGCCTTGGCCCATTTCTCCTAGCCACATTAATTCACAAGCCTACTAAGGTGAATTGTCATTTATGGTTAAAAAAAAAAAAGGTTTTGTAACTAGCCAATGTGGGACAAGGCAACCACAAGGTTTTAACAAATACACCAAAAATTCCAATAGATTACATACCAATTCTAACTGATGATATCCTCACATTATGAATGTGTGAGAGGGCTAAAGCTCCACTCGCTCTAGTTTCTTACGGAGTATAATTTAGCTTGCTAAAGCTCCACTTGTTCTAGTTTCTAAAGAAAGACTCTGATATCACTCTAGATCACTAAATTCACCATTTCGATATGTGATTTTGCTGTAGAAATTGTTAAGTATTACTGTAAATTTTTAATGGCACACTTTTTTTTATTAGGCCTTGGGCACTAAAAATCTTTGGACCAGCCCTGTATAGATTGATTGTCTATATCTCTAGAAAAAGACTAGACCCGGATTTTTGGCTCACAATTGGAAGATTTGGGTTTGCTTCTAGAAGTTCGGTGGTCTAGAGGCAGGAAATCAGAACTTGCAGGTGCAGGCTTTGAAGAGGAGCCTTGGTTTGGATGTGTGCCACATTCAATTCTAGGCCTTTGCCCAAATTAAATCCTTGGCCTATGTATATTCACTGTATTCTATTGAATCTGTGTGTGGTGTAGCAGATTGGTGAGGGAGTGGGTGAGGTCGAGTGTGGGGGGCCAGTGTGGCTCCCTATAGTGGAGCCGGTGTGGCTCCGGAGAGTTTTTTTTTGCTTGTATATGATTCGGAGTTTTTTTTTGCTTGTATATGATTCGATTTATGAGTGAAATTTCTCTGATTTATAGTGTGAGTGGCCCCTGGGCACAACAATTCTTATCAGAGCACATGAGGAGCCAAATTAGGGCTGTAAGACGATGGAAAGAGTTGAATAACTGATTGTTCAAGTTTGATTTGAAAACTCAACAAGCTTTAAAAATATGTTCGAGCTAGACTTGACAAACCAATCCCAAACGAGAATTAATTGAGCCAATCATGAATCAATCTCGAATAGATGGAAAGTTTTTTTTTTTCTCGGCAAATAGATGGAATGTTTTATACATCATAAATCGAACAAGTTAACTAGTAGTTTGTTCCATCTGGGTTTAAAAGCTTAATGGGCTTCAAAAATATCTTTGACTTTTAGTTTGTTTAAGTAACAAACCGATCTCAAACAATCTTTTAACGAGGAAACACGAGCTCAAACTCAAGCGCTTGGCTCGTTTATCAGCCCTAGAGACAATTCATTTAAACAGATTCAGATTTGCACTAAATAATCACTTATTCCTTTTAGCTTTTCGTTATCTTTTATAAGTCTCTACACAGGCTAAATCCAAACACAGCCAAGGCAGCAACGTGCTCACTCAAACCAGTAGACAGGAAAGGCAATGTAAATCTGTTGGCACAGGAAACTAAAATGTGCTCTCAAGTGCTCTAGATTTCCAAACTCAATTTTCTGTAAAAATGGGTTAGAAAACACAAGACACTACAAACAGCGCAAAGAATTGTCATAAAAACCAAATCGACTGCCCCGCACAATCCCAATTAGCCTTCTTGGAAAAGTAAAGCCTATCAACCCCACGGACAACCATCCAATCATTAGCATAAATACTGAAAATCATATGAGATGATCAACAACCATTGAATTTCTCGTGATGCTGCACCACCTTCGCAAAAACTCCAAACACGTCGATGTCAAATTCACTATACCTGTACACATGAATGAAAACACCAGGAAGTTAATCACTAAGCACAGTTTAAAAGTTTAAACAAATGTCGAAAAACCAAAAAAGGAAAGAAATGGAAGTCAATAATGTACAAAAGGAATTCTAAAACAGACTATCTAAACACAGCATGATAGAGGTGCTCCGGCATCCTACTAACAAAATACCTACCGAGTCAATTTTGGTGTACAATCAGGTTAGCTGAGGTTACCACATGATAAGTGATTCTAACGACCAAAACAAGAAATCCATTTTCCAAAAGGACTCACGAGAAGTTCCTCTAAAACGTTTTAAGTAAAGCGTCTCATCCATCCTGATACATGTTTCCACTGCAGCATATAGTGTGTATTGCACTTGGGCAAGCATCATGACCGTCAAGCTTCTCAACTGTCTTGTTTTACATTCCCAACAAAGCAATCATTGGGTCTGCACCTATGTAAACAGCATCATCACACTCAGACCCTTACTGTCAAACTAAGTCGATCATAGAGCATTTACAGAATGCCAACAAATCCTCTTGTTGGGAGTTTGTCTGCCTCTGCCTTCACAGAAATTTGGTATGGAAAGGAAAGCTTTTGAAGGAAGGTAGAGACTGGGGAATATGGGGATCCGATGCAATGGACTGGTTAGAGGAACTTATAAGGCAGGAATATGAAAAGACGTACTCTTAGGTGGATGAATTAATAAATCTTTCCCAAGCAAGTCTAAAGGAAAACTGTTTGTGTTAGAATTTATAAAGATGCAGAAACTTTCAGTTACTATAATTCTGGTCTTTTAATGGCAAAACTTGGAAAACGAAAACCCAGCAATGCGAAGAAACACAATGCACCATCAAGGATAGAGTAACTTTTATAAAGGAACATATCATAAAGATGAAAAGGTAAACAAGTAACATTTCCAAAGTTTCTGGTTAAGATGTACCATTAATCCTCAAAATCTCCAGCATTCTCCAATAGATAGTTCACTGCCAATTCTTCATTGCGGTCGCAGGCCAAAAATGCCTCGATGACAAGGGCTCTATCGAATCCCATTGCCTCAAGCTAAAAATGGACCAACGAAACAAAACTTAGCAGAACATACCAAGTACAAGAGAAACACAAATAACAAGAAATAAAGGAACCATACTCGTTCTATGGCCTCCTGCTCTGCTGGTGTGACATTAATAGCATGAGGCATCTCCTGCTCAGGTTGATCAAATATATCCCTGCAAGGAAATGAATGTTGACACAATCAGTAGATAGAACCATGCCTACCCCTTAACGGAATCGCAAAACATGTTCCCATTCTCAACTGGTGTTCATATTTCACAGAAGATCCCTACTCAAGGAAACCCTTTCTAAGGGTGTTCCAGGCTTCTCGGAAAGATAACCGACTAAGACAAATTTACGAAGGGTAAGTCAAAACGAGAGAAATTTGCTCTTTTTCTCTCTTTTCCCCACCTTCTTTTGGAGTGCAAGTATTAAAGATTGAAGGAATGCCACCACGTATATCAGAACACTAATCTGAGAGCCCCAAAATCCCAAAACGAGAAAGGAATACTACTTATGTAGGTTCCTCAAGCTCACAAAATGTCCTTTTGCGCTCTTCCCAAATGTTTGATGAGAGGCAAGAAGGGGTGAAGAGCCAAGCATTATTCCTCTTTCCTACACGTCAACCCAACCAAGGAAACAGAAAGCCCACTATACCTCAAGGAAAGGCCCAATATATTCCAAGACAACACAAGGCTCAAATCCCTATATCCCACTACTCCTCCATTGCCTTGAAAAGTTTAAACAAGAAAAATTGCCATTCACTCACTCTTCTCAATTCTTAGTAAAATGATAAGAACAAGTACCCACCCTTCTGAACCGTCCACAGGCTCATTTATCAATTGAAGAAACTCAGCTTGGTGCTCTTGAATAAGTCTTAAAAGTTGGGGGTTTTGTTTTCCAAGTTCCTGAAGCATGGGCTGTAACCAAGCAAACAACACAACTCGTTACAGAAGGAATACGCTATCTGATAACAACAGAATGAAAATGAACTATAGTACTATACTCTGATAACAAAAGTATTCATATGGACCTGTAAAATCTGGGGATTTGATTGCACCATTGAACGCAAGGCTTGGAACTGAAAAGAAAACAAAGGAAAAATCAGATAAACGAGAAAATTCAATAGCCATGCCAATATCTTATACAAGACAATAAGATATAGTTACATCTTATCTCATAACAGCTAGGAAAAAAACTGCTTAAACTAAACGCAGGTCAGATATTTTAATGCAAATCCTAAAGACCCGACTACCATAACTACAGGCTTCGTAGCACAAGGAATGCAATCAAATAATATAGGAACCAAACCTGTTGGCTATTTCGAAGGAAATCAAGGGGACCAAGTCCAGCGCCAGCACCGCCGGCAGGAACTGCTTCCTAGAGATATTTCAGTTTAAACAATATAAGAAACACATAAGAGGAAAGCAGACAAGTATGTGCCAAAAGACAGTAATGTTACAGTAAAGTTAAACCTGAGGAAACAAATTCAAGGGAGATGAATTAGGAACTCCAGAGACGGGTGCGCCTGCTGCCGCACCAGTTTCAACCCCCCCAGAGGCTGTCTGATTTGCAGGTAAATGAGCCACTGGAACAGCAACCTCTGCTGCTTCTGGAATACCCTGAAAATAAAACAAAATAGGGGTGAAGGCCAGGTTATTGTCAAGTTTTCTAAGATACTGGATTTTTCAAAATTTAGGGACAGTGCCACCGCACTCCAAAATGGCATTGAACAATTTAAGAACATACTGAATATAAATAATCCACAGCTCGCTCTGGGTTGTTGTAAGCAGCTCGAAGTGCACGGATAACAGTTTCTCTTTCCCAGCT